CCCCCCCCCGTGCTGCTGCCAGCCCGGCCACAGCGCGCGCGTTGCCCCCCGCGTCCGAGGCGCGGTGCGCGGCGCCATGCAGAGCGTCGGCGCGACGCCGCCCCGACACGTTCCGCACGCCGGATAAAAAACATCGCACGCTGCAACGCCCGCCACCTCCCGCCGCCGTCCGTATGGTGCACGCCCACACCATCCATCGCCCCCGTGCCCGAGGGAGCACCGGCCCTCGCCGCGGTGCGCACGCCCCTTCATGCCCCGTGCCCGAGAGGGAGCACCGGCCCTCGCCGCGGTGCGCACGCCCCTTCATGCCGCACCCCGCGCCGCCGCCAAAAACCCCCCAACCACGTGGCGACCCCGACCCCAAAGTCCCCATTTCTCAATTCAACGCACACGTGTCTTCCACCCGCTTTTTTCTCTCCATGTACGCGCGCACACGCACGCTACCAAGCCTGAAAACGTCATCGGCGCCGGCCGGCTGTTCGCGCGGGGCCGCGTCCCCACGAGCGCGCGCCCCGGACGCTGTTTGGTGCACCACATGATGCATGTTTGGTCCTCGCCGGAAGACAGCGGCCCGGCGGTGAACGGGGGCGGTGAACGGGGGCGGCGAAAAAGTGTCAGACAAAAAGAGCCCCGCCGCGCGTGTTATGTTTCCGGAGATGTACGCTATTTACACGTAGCATCGGGGATGCCCTTCTCCGGGCGCCGAAATTGTCGCAACTTTTGGTATGAGCTCCGGCGATGGCCGGGCGACTGGACTACTGTACATCTATGATCGTACAATCCATGGATTGTACGGGATTGTACGGTACTGTAGAAAGAAAAAAAAAAAAAAAGAAGAGAAACAATCAGTTGCGCGCATCAAGCCACGAGAGGTCTGTTCATGTCAGAACATGACATGTGTAATGCTCTGACGAGTCGCGTTTTGGAAAGGGCCAACGGCAACCGCCGCTTGCCGCACATACGGAATACAGTACAACAGGGTGCCCACTTCACCTGCACAGCTGCCAGGTGTTCACAGCTCACTCGCTACTTCCGCCACACTTTCCGCATTCACAAAATAACCACAGTTTTCTTACCTTACGATTCGCGGAAAACCGTTCGTACCCCCCCCCCTACGCATAAATAACACTATGACATCCTGAAATCAAACGGGACAAATTCGACACCACCAACCCATGTGGGTTGTGGCTTGGTGCTGTCGAATTTGTCCCGTTTGTGTTGTGGACAACATATCACTTGCTCTAGCTAGTGCTAGACACTGCTGCTGATTTCCCTGGTCCACATTGTTTTGGCAAATTGCTGTTGCTCCTAAGC